AAGGACTTATACATCTCATTGCTGCAATGGGTCCACCTGTATCCCTACTTAAACTATTTGTTTTTTCCCTTCCCCTCCACAAATATATAGTGAGAACAAGGGTATACCATGGGGGAGGGACATACAAAGCAACAAAGAAATTATCTTATAAATATGTTAGAAACAATCACAAGAAAGAAAAAAAACATTTGATTCCTTATCTTGGGGTTCATTTCACCTAACATCAACTTATTTGACCGTTTCTGCTTGTCTCAGACATATACTAGTAATTTCAAATAAGGGAAAGCATGGGGCCTATGTTTCTTTGGGCCTGGTTTACTTCACTTCATATAATTTTCTCCAAGTCTTTCCATTTGCTAACAGCTGACTTCTTTCTCATAGGGTCTTCTTCCAAGTCATTTTATATTACATGGCATCATAGCTCTGTCACTTATATGTGCTTCTCATTAGACTGTATGCTCTCAAAGCAGGACTGGCCACTGCCCCCCTTTCCCTGAGACTTTACCTGTCATGGTTATAGTTAGTGACTCATAAGTACTTGTTGAGTGAACAACATTGAAGCCTTTGGGCTAGCCTTGCTAAATAAAGTCAGATACTTTTTGAGCTTTTTCATGGCAGACATCACATCTCTTTCTGTTAAAATTTAATGAGCTTAGATTACTTAAGTCCTTCTGTCAACCATCACTGAAGATCTAAGTTTCCTGTCTAAAGTTTTGTTTAAATTGGATAAGACTAACACTAGCATGAACTTCTAAGATTATTCTGAATTAATAAGATAATTCATTAATTAATCAGATAATATACACTAAGGGTTATGGACATAATAACAGCACACTCAATAAATACTAGCCATCATCATTATCATCAACCATGTTGGTCCTTAATTTTATTCTGCATGCTGACTGTATCTATGCCATTAGCAGTCTTTGTCTTGATTTTCTCAGAATTTCTTAGATTTTTCTTAGAATTTTCTCAGAAGAAATCTTGCTTTTGGGTCACACATTTCAAGGTCTAGCTTAAGTTCAGTCCTTTTGAAGTTTCTCTGGGACTAACTTTGTGCCCTTGCTTGGCTCTTTCTTTAACTTAGATGGGAATTTTGAAACACAACTTTATTTAGCACGTCCTAAACTGAACTCTTGATCTCTGCTCCCATATTTACAATAATTTTTCCCATTTCTTTTAAAAAAGATAAGTTCATTATTGTTATTAAGGTCTTGTTCAGGGTGTTATCATTTCATGTAGGTAATGAGTCCCTGTCTTCTTCGTCATCCCTTCTTTAGCTTTCTCAGTTTTCCCCACCCATTCCTACTCACAAGTTGCATAGTTCCTTTTCCACATGCTGCTATTCCACTGAATAACATAATTGTATTTGTTTAAAAAAGCCTTAGAGAGATAATTGATTTTCCTCAAAACATTGGCAAATCTTGTTAGTGCTACCTGCTGAATCTGCAGATACTCTGACACCTTCATACATCCTCCATTGTTAGTAGTGTGGCACAACATAATCATATTCTGACTGCAAACAACCTTCCTTGATATCACATGTAAAGCAAATCTCAAATAAAGTAATAGCTCCAATAAAGAAACATCAACTAGCATTTCCCATCGTTGTTACCTCTGCTCTCTTCTTCTTCATAAGGCTTACAAGTATAGAAGTTACATCTCTAGACTTAGTTGTTTATTTTCTCTACATAATTTTCTAATGGGGTTATGAAGGTTATGACTTTCATTAATCTAGTGACTATATTTTTCCATTGCCTAATCTGTAATGTCTAGCTCCTGGCACTTTATAGGATTCAATACTCTATTTGTAGAATGGGTGAGTGAATGGATGAATGACATGACTTTCAGAAGAAATTGCCATAGTCTAAGATTGTGGCCATTATTGTCATTGGCAGAGAGTCACAAGGGGACGAAGTGACTTCCTACATGAATATTGAACATGAACACATGAATTGAATGTGAAATGACGATAATCTAGGGCAATGATCATTTTATATGGAAGTAGAAAATAGAGAAAGAGAAGTGGACAAGTGAGGCATGGTCTAAGTCAGATAGTTAACCCTACAGCTATTCCCCGAAGTCTTCTTTACTTATTATTTTTATATTTATTCTTAGTAGACAAGTCTAGGTGAAAGCCCTCTTTATGTTTTTGTTTTAATTTTTTTTTTTGTCAGTCGTGGAGCTTGAACTCTGGGCCTGGGCACTGCTCCTCAGCTCTTCAGCTCTAGGTGAGCACTCTACCACTGGAGCCACAGCGCCATTTCCAGCTTTTTCTGCTTATGTGGTGCTGAGGAATCAAACCCAGGGCCTTATGCATGTGAAGCAAGCACTCTACCACTGGGCCACCTTCCCAGCCGTTTTAAAAATTTTAATGTACTTTCTCCTTATTGAATGCAAAAACACAGAAATGACACAAAAGGAATTGAAATGGATTTTGAAACTTTCCTCCAGTCATAGTTTATTTGGCAAAATTTCACTGTTGGGAAAAGAAATTCCATGGGGAAATTGGTCCCTGGATTATAGCTGGTAGGCTAATTTACTATGAATAGTTGAAGAAGCATAGCTTTTAATCATGTATTTTGTGTAGATGGATCAGACTTTTTCATCTAAACAGGATATTATAATCTTTGCATTTGTTTTCTTTATGGATTTTATATATTTCTCAAAAAATAAAAATCCTAACACTTACCTATTCCTTTTTGTGATTTGCCCTAGATATCAAGTTTGTTTTCTAAATGCTCCCAGAACCATTAGTGATTTGTTCTTGGGGGAAAATATGACCATTGAATTACAATAACAATTACCAATCCTTATTATTAAAGATAGCTGAATGTATTTTAAATAATGTCAGTTTTGGAGTAGAGATCCTAGCAAATAGCTAGAATGTGGTATGGGAAATCCAATTAGCCTCTGTGGCCTCATTGTGAAGAGAGTTATCAATGATGTCTTTCTCCTTTCTTTGGAGTAAACTCTAGGCTTAAGAATGGCTTATCTGAGTGAGGCCTGGACATTGTTCACTGGGGGTCTTCAGTGAGAAATTGGCTGGGGGATAATATTTTTTCAGGATGTTTCTTGCTCAAGGAACCCAGCATTTTCAAGAAGAATCCAGGAAATTCTTAGTCCACTTTACACAAAACAGGAGTCCTTGGTAGCGATTTATTCCTGCAGAACCCCATAGGGTGTACTTGAAATCACCCTGCTTTTGTTTCAAGGCAGAGTGAGAGCAACAGCTCTTCTGATCTGAAGGTAGGCAATGGGACTCAGAAATAAGGCATGAAGCTTCTCAGTAGTCTAAGATGTTGGGCAATTCTGTTTTTTAAGAGCTGAAAGAATACATTAAAAATAGTGTTGGTCTTGTGGTTCTTTTTTATGATGAGGAAATACTTATATTACTTATATAGTGGAAAAATGTGCTGAGTATAAGATGTGATTTTGGAAGTCTTGCAATTTGGAGGTTCTGTGGGGATTTATTTAGGAATGAACAAGTTGGAGCCTTGATTATGGTATGGGTTCTAATACTTTGGTATATCCAGCTCTCTCATTATTTCTGTAGCTCGCTCATTATTTCTGTAGCCATGGTCTATATTAGGATGAAGCACAACAGGTCACTTGACATATATTCTGCACATGCTGAGTTAGTCTTTTATAAGCTGGTCATCCTTTCTTTCCTGTAATAGAAGTGATTCAGCATCTAAGTAATGGAGATAGTGGGAAGGGGGTGAATTTGGGTAATGGGAGAGACAGAGAGAGAGAGAGAGAGAGAGAGAGGGAGAGATTTTGTGTGTGTGTGTGAGAGAGATACACAGAGAGAGAAAGAGAGAGGAATGAAATGTTCCCTGCACCATTTCACATTAAGGGAAAAGGAACGAGCTACTGACATATGCCATCTGGATGAAATATCTGGAAAAACATGCTAAGTCAAAAAAAGCAGATTCCATAAGTTTATGTATTTTGTGATTCTTGTTAACACAGCGGTCATTATAGAAATGGACAACTATAGAATCTCATAGTGATTATCAGCAAAGAGGCAGTGGATTTTGCATAGCTTCATTAAAGATATTGAGTAAAAAATATATAGATCTTTTCTCTCACACAAGTACATACACATTTTCAGTTATGTCAAAATAAAAACAGTATTACTAAGTTGAATACATAAAGAATAAACTTCTAGGGAACAAAGTATATATCTCACTAGAGAGGAATAGGATAATTGTGTAAAGGTTACACAAAGAAATATAAATAATTAAAACAAATAACATCCATTTTAACAAAATAGATCATTGAAAGAAAAACTAGCAAGCTGTAGAGCAATCTTGCTTTGTCCATAAGTATATAAAACCTATTATATGAATTTCTCTCTATCTCCCTTTCTCTTTTTCTCTAGATACATGATTTCCATATTTCATATATTACTTAATGATCCATAAAGAACAAGAGAATCTGATATTGGTTAGTCATTTGACCATGATAGGATGAGAGTTTTGGTCAAATATCAAATATTTCTATAACATTTTATTTTAGTTAACAATTCCCAACTCGACATTTTCTACAATCTATCTCTTCCCCACTTATCTCCTTCAAGTTTCCTAGTTTAGTCTTTATATATGTACATTGTGTATTTATGACTGTAAATACTCAGCATTCCTCTTTTCAATCATTTACCCTTATCCTTTTATCCCCCATACCCATCAGTTAAGACATTCTTCCTGGTTGTCTTTTGGTTGAATTACCCAAAGAGTGGGTCCAAGTGCCAGAACTTACTGTCCTCTGACTATGAGACTATAACACCTTTTCTGAACTCCTATTTTTGAGTATAAAATTAAATAAGTTAAAGTGACATAAATTGAATGCTAATGTTTAATTTTGAATGGCTATGTACTGGCTAAATGCATGATTAATTAGTAATGTATGCTATAATTAATAAGTAACATATACTCCTTGAAGCTCAGTAAATAAGATGAATTGCTTCTGCAATGTCTTATTTCAGGAATCTCACTATCTGACATCCAGTATGGCCACTACAAATAATGTGACTGAATTAATTATTGCTGGCCTCTTCCAGGATCCTGAGGTGCAGAGAGTGTGCTTTGTGCTGTTTCTTCCTGTGTACCTGGCCACGGTGCTAGGCAATGGCCTCATTGTTATGACGGTCAGTGTCAGTAAGAGTCTGCGTTCCCCCATGTACTTCTTCCTCAGCTCCCTGTCCCTGGTGGAGATCTGTTACTCCTCTACTGTTGTCCCTAAGTTTATCACTGACCTACTTGCCAAGATGAAAACCATCACCCTGAAGGGCTGTCTGGCTCAGATTTTCTTCTTCCACTTCTTTGGGGTGGCTGAGATCCTGTTGCTGGTGGTGATGGCCTACGACCGCTATGTGGCCATCTGCAAACCTCTTCATTACATGAACATCATGAGCCGTCCACTGTGTCACCTGCTGGTGACTGGTTCCTGGATGGGGGGATTTTTTCACTCTATAATTCAAGTTCTCATCGCTGTGCAATTGCCCTTCTGTGGTCCCAATGTGATTGACCACTACTTCTGTGACCTCCAGCCGTTATTCAAGCTGGCCTGCACGGACACCTTTGTGGAGGGAGTGATTGTATTGGCTAATAGTGGCTTAATTGCCTTGTGCTCTTTCCTTATCCTTGTGGCCTCCTACATTATCATCCTGGTCCACCTGAGGAAGCATTCTGCAGAGGGGAGGCGCAAGGCCCTCTCCACCTGCGCCTCGCACATCACTGTGGTGGTCTTGTTCTTTGGACCGGCCATTTTCCTCTATATGCGCCCCTCTTCTACCTTCACTGGGGACAAATTGGTGGCCGTGTTCTACACCGTCATCACCCCCATGCTGAACCCCATCATCTACACACTCAGAAATGTGGAGGTAATAAATGCCATGAAGAAGTTGTGGGGCAAAAAATCCTTAATGGTGGGGTGAAAAGAGAGAACAGGTTTCAAGAAAAGCAATTTGCTTGTTGTTGAAACTGATTGTTTGCTTTTAAGTAAGAATTGCAGCAATGAACATAAGGATACAATTTTACCTTTACTTTGATTCCCCTTAGCAACGAAAGACACTGATATTCAGATGTAATGCCCAAGGAAAGTGGTCAGATAGTCTCACTGAATCTCATGGAATTTGACTGACTCATTGATGTGCACCATAATCATGGCATTGGCTAATTCTTTTGTTTGTGTGTGTTGATCCTGGGGTTTGAACTCAGGGCCTGGGTGTTGTCCCTGAGTGTTTGTGCTCAAGGGTAATGCTCCACCGCTTGAGCTACTGCTCCATTCTAGCTTTTTGCTGGTTAATTGGAGATAAGAGTCTCATAGACTTTGCTGCCCAAGCTGACTTCGAACTGTGGTCTTCACAGCTCAGCCTCCTGAGTAGCCAGGATTACAGGTGTCAGCCGCCAGTACTTAGCTGGCTTTGTCACAATTATAAACATAAACCATTTGCGTTTCCATTGTTACATAGTCATTGCACATAATTGCAGGTACAGAGTGATATTTCAAGATCTGTACACAATAAGTGATTGTGGTAATGGTATATCTATCACCTTAGACATTTTGTAACTCTGGTGTTGATGAAAGACAACATGTTCCCTAGTAACAACTTTTAGACATTTAAAATAATTCTTGTAAAAAATAATTCTTGTCAGACATAGTTATTCTGCTGTACTTTAGAAATTAGGAATGATTCCTCAACTTCCCCTGGTACAAGGGAGAACATTTTGGACATATATATATATATATATATATATATATATATATATATATATATATATATATATATATATATATTTTGTCGATCATGGGGCCTGAACTCTGGACCTGGGTGCTGTCCCTCAGCTCTTCAGCTCAAGGCTAGCGCTTTACCACTTGAGCCAAAGCGCCACTTCTGGCTTTTTCTGCTTATGTGGTGCTGAGGAATTGAATCCAGGGCCTCATGCATGCAAGACAAGCACTCTACCACTGAGCCACCTTCCCAGCTCTTGGTAAATGTTTTATAACTTAAAATTAATTCTGCTGGTGGCTCATGCCTATAAATAGCTACTCAGGAAGCTGAGATCTCAAGACCACAGTTTGGACACAGCCTGGGCAGACAAATCCAAGAGACTCTAATCTCAAATTAACCAACAAAAATGTGGAACTTGAGGCCTGGCTCAAGGGTAGAGCACCAGTCATGAGCAAAAAAATGTCAGAGAGTGCCAGGTCATGAGGTTTAGCTCCAGTTCTGGCACAAAAACAACAGAATTGTTTCTTCCATTCTTCCTTTTTTTCCTGTCTTGCTAATTTAAATTCTCTTTAAAAAAAATTTTTTTTTATTGTGAAAATACCATACAGAGGGGTTACAGTTACATGGGCAAGGAAGGTAATGAGTACATTTCTTATCAAGCATTGTTGTCTCCTCCTTTGTTTCTCCTTCTTCCCATCCCTTCCCAACCCCCCCCCCCCCAAAGACTGTACTAAAGCTACCAGCACAACTACGTTTATTGCTACATTATTTACCATAGCTAAGATATGGAACCAATCCAGATGTCCCTCAGTAGATGAATGGATCAAGAAAATGTGGTATATATATATATATACACATGGAATTCTATGCCTCCAGAAAGAATGACATTGCCCCATTTGTTAGGAAATGGAAAGACTTGGAAAAATTATATTAAGTGAAGTAAGCTAGGCCCAAAGGAACATAGGTCCCATGGTTTCCCTTATTTGCAATAACTAGTATATGTCTGAGAGAAGCAGAAAAGGTCAGATAAGTTGATGTTAGGTGAAATGAACCCCAAGATAAGGGTTCAAATGTTTTTTCTTTCTTGTGATTGTTTCTAACATATTTATAAGATGATTTCTTTGTTGCTTTGTATGTCCCTCCCCCATGGCATAACCCCTGTTTTCACTGTATTTGATGTTGGTATAATTTGTGGAGGGGAAGGGCAAAAACAAACTGTTTAAATAGAGATACAGGTGGATCCATTGCAACAATGAGAAGTACAAGTCGTTATGTAGAAAAACGAATTTAAATTCCCTTGAGATAATAATCTATATTTTATTAAAGAAGATAACCAATCTGGGGTATACCTAGGAATATTTTTTGGATAAAATTTCTAATTTTATATTTTTCTATATTGTAGAAATAAATGGCATCTATCTGCAAAGAAGAATAAAATTCTGTTGTTTTCAGGAAACTGGAATGAAACTGGAGATCATATGAAGTGAGCTATGCTAATCTCAGTAAGACACAAAAAATGATGCTCATTCATATGCAAAACCTGCCCCTAAAAATATGACACATTGTAAAAGGGATTTTTTTGGGGGGGGGGACCACCAGTGGGAGATGGAAGATGGAAGAGAGAGGATGATGAATATATTCTGTAAATGTATGGAAAGTCCATTTGATCTCACACTGAGCTCTGGGGGAATCTTTTTTTTTATTTTTATTTTTTGTGAACACACTGTACAGAGGGGTTACAATTACACGGGCAGGTTAATGCGTACATTTCTTATCAAGCATTGCAGCCTCCTCCTTTGTTTACCCTTCACATCCCTTCCCAGCCTCCCCCTCCACCCCCCCACCCAATCCTCCCGGCTTTCTCCCCCCGCCCACCAACGTTGTAAAGCTCGTTTTCGACATGACAACTTGTACTTCTCATTGTTGCAACAGGTTCACCTGTATCCTTAAACGACTTGTTTTTCCCCATCTCCTCTACAAGTTATACTGACATCAAATATAGTGAAAGCAGGGGTTATACTGTGGGGGAGGGACATACAAAGCTACAAAGAGATAATCTTATAAATGTGTTAGAAACAAGTGCATGAAAGGAAAAAAACATTAAAATACATATCTAAGGATTCATTTTCCTAACATCACATTATCTGACCTTTTCCGCTTGACTCATACATATACTAGATATTGCAAATAAGGGAAACCGTGGGACCTATGTTTCTTTAGGCCTGGCTTCTTCACTTAATATAATTTTTTCCAAGTTTTTCCATTTCCTAACAAATGGGGCAATGTTGTTCTTTCTGATGGAGGCATAGAATTCCATTGTGTATATATACCACATTTTCTTGATCCATTCATCTACTGAGGGGCATCTGGCTTGCTTCCATATCTTAGCTATGGTAAATAACGCTGCAATAAACATAGTTGTGCTGGTAGCTTTAGTGTGGTCTTGTTTGTAAACATTTGGGTAAATGCCCAAAAGTGGGATTGCTGGGTCATAGGGGAGCTCTATGTGAAGTCTTTTGAGGAACCTCCATACTGCTTTCCAAAGTGGTTGAACAAGTTTAAATTCTGGGGGAATCTTTTTTATAGTGAGTATTACTGCTGAATGATTCACCCTTTGTCCCACCATTTCTGGGTTTCCTCTTCTAGAGCCTCAGTCTTGATTGCCAGTTGCTCTTCCACTGACTCAGGACTCCACTTCTTTTCTGCACTGGATATTTTGAGGAAGGGCTTTGGGTTTGCATGGGCCAATTGCTAAACCATGCTCTGCCTCTTTTAGGCTTCCCTTGGTAGTTAGAATGACTGGCATGCACCATCATGCCCAACTTCCTTTGTTAAGAAGGAGTTTTGCAGATTTTTCTTCCCTATAGTGGCTGGGAATTGCCATCTTCCCAACTTCAGCCTCCTGTGTATGCAGAATGACAGGAATGCATCCCTCCTCCTGACTTTATTTCTTTTAATGCCCATTGGTGCCTTTTGGTGAAGGGAGACAAATGTTATATCCTTGTTGTTGTTTTACCTCTCAGATTTTACAGGACATTGCACTGTCCCACATCATTATGAATAATCTGGAGAATATGCAATTGGCCCTTGTGGTGTTGGAATTATAAAGACTGGTATTGAATTTTCATTATATTCACACATCTTTTTGTGTAGGCCCATTAAAATAATTCAACTTTCCCAGTAAATAGAGAGAACACACTAGGTATGTACTGAATGGTAAAGACTTTTTTCTCTTTCTCCTGTATGTGCAGGTTAGACTTGTGGGCAGACATCAGTTTTACTTATTTATTTGTACCAGTATGTTTTAATTGTACAAAGAAATTGAGTTTAATATCTCTATTCATGCATATCGTGTACTTTTACAACTTTTACTCACTTGTTTTTTTTAATAATTTAAGATTAGTGCTATAGTATTCTGAATATTAAATTAGATAATATGCATGTAAAATGTTGAGGGAGGAACATGGACAGGGCACTCAATAAATATTAACCACCATCATCATCATCATCATCATCATTCTCATTCTCATCATCATCATCATCATCATCATCAATATCATCATCATCAATACTGATCTTTAATTTGATTTTGTGTGAGGACTACATCTTTCTCCATAAATTGGTGGCTTTTCTGTTCTTTTTAGCTGCTCAGAGTATGGGTTGATTCCACTACGTAGCTTTCAGATATTTGAAGGCAATGACTCATTCCTTTTGGCTCTTCTTTGGAGTAAACATTGTATGTTGTCTAATTGCTTTCAAGTACCCTACTACAGTTATTCAATATTGTAGGATACTTATTTATTTTAATTTATTTTATATTTTAATTTTTGTACTGGTCCTGGCCTGAGCTTTTCTGCTCAGTTGAGCTCCACTTTTAGCTTTTTTAGTGGTTAATTGGAGATCAGAATCTCCTGTTAGCTATGGTAAATATTTCCATATCTTAGATGAATGGATTAAGAAAATGGGATATATATATATATATATATATATGTATATATATATGAATTCTATGCTTCCATCAGAAAGAATGACATCCCCCAACGTAAGGAAATGGAAAGATGTGGAAAAATCAGATGAAGTGAAGTGAGCCAGACTCAAAGAAACATAGGCTTCATGGTTTTCCTCATTTGCAATAATTAATATATGCCTAGAATAGTCCTAGCAGAAGATCACAATCGCTTGATAGCTATGTACATATGACC